GTCAACAAGTTGTGTTCGCACTGCTTGTCCCAAGTTGTCAACAAGTTATGGAACAAGCTGTTAACAAGTTATAACAACATTGTTGATATGATCAGACTTGTTATAAGGTTGTTCCAACAAGTCCAATACAGTCATGATATAACAATATTGTTACGACTTTGTGTGTTGTCAACCTTCTAACATTCTTGTTATATCATGACTGTATCAGACTTGTTAGAACAACTTTGCTACAAGTCTGATAATGCCATCAAGCTTGTTGCAAGTTGTTAACAGTTTGTTCCAAACTTGTTACAACAACTGGGAACAAGCAGTGCGAACACAACTTGTCGACAGCTTGTGAACAGATTTGTAACAACTTGTTTGCAGACTTGTAGCAATGCTGTTCCAACAACTTATCAGCAGGATGTGTTCGCACTGCTTGTCCCCAGTTTGTTGACAAGTTGTTTAACGACTTGTTGACAGCTTGTTACGAGGTTATTGAGCTCAACAGACTTGTTACAAGTTGTCCCAATAACTAGTTATCGTCCTACAATTTAACAAGTTGTGAGTGACAACCTTGTAGCAACTTGATGACTTTACAAGATTGTTACAACTTGTCGACAAGCTTGCCACAAGCCTGTTGCGAACACATCTTGTTGTGAGAATTTTACCTGTGTAAAGGGCATTCAGAGACTACATGATACGTCTGCCTATAATTGTCTAATTACACACTCTGCCAAGTAAAGCAAGACCAACTTTTACTCATTTCTCATTCAATTTGCATCGAAATTTGTCTTTGGGTAACGACGTTTCCATTGGTCATTTTCAGGTGGATTTACTCCGTATCGCGAACTTTGGTGCAATGGTAGTCAGGCAGACTAAAGAATATCATAAAAATGATCTTAACAATACCAGTGTTGAGCATTTCAATGCCAACCACTTTTTTGTCGGTGGGCTCACTGGAAGTGTTGATAATTCTGTACTCGAGGTAAACTGCGAAAGTAACTACTGTTAGTTCGATCGAAATTGCGCTGAATTTGTGACATAAGTTATTTACAGAATCTATCTGGATTTCTAGAATGCAGAGGCACCAAGCTTCTTTGGTTGTATTCGCGAAGTGGAGATTCAAACAGAATCCGTCAGTCAAAAATTCAATTTAAGGTAACTATGAATATTAATTCAAAAAACGATACAAGTGAATGAAATTAATCCAAATGTGTGGTTTCTAATATATAAAGGTGTGCACTAATTCTGTGTTTGCGAGAGGCGTGCGCGTCACAAGTCACAACCAATGGCTATGGTAACATTGCAATGCAAAGCTTGTTTATGCTATCAAGGTTACTTTGATCGCAGTAGGAATTTTGCATCGGTAAATTCTATGTTTTGAATGATTTGTAATAAATGTTTGGGGGGAACGGACTCCGTGTTTAA